TTTTTTTTTTTTTTCTATTTTTAGAGCTGAAACTGTCTATTATGAAGTCGTTCAAAAAATGTAATTAATAAGCAACATCTTTGATAGGTGATTAATTATTTTAGTTGTGTAATCAGCCAAAAATGCCAAATATCTTCTGCAAATCTGTTGCTTATCTGTGTTTAATTATTTCAAATTGAAATTTTTTGGACTCAAAACATTTGAAGATGTCGCCTTGGGTGCTCAGAACTTTAAAAGGCCATTTTCTACAATTTATTTATTTATTTATTTAATAGTCTGAACCATTAGTCAGTTAAACAAAAGACGCAAAACAGATTTATTGATTATAAAAAAGTTTCAGTTAGAAAAAATGAAGCAAATATGTTAAAGTAAGAATAGAGCAACCTATGTTAAATTACTGAATTTATAATATAATTTAAAACTGGAGAGACTATATGTCTTTAATTTCCTACATTTTCAGATATTCATATTTTTAACATATTTTAACTCACTAACTTTCGTAAAACTTCTAAATTGTAATGTCAAACGGCACAGTTTTTCCTTTATTACTGTAGTTCCAAAACACTGTTGGGTTGTTATTGTTTATTTTCTACGTGTGTGTATGTGTGTGTGTGTGTGTGAGAGCGTGTGTGTGTGTGTTAAGAGAAAGGGAATGGGTCTGCGAGCGCTTTGCTCACAGAAGCTGTTTCCACATACAAACCACCCTCTCCTCACCATGCTGTTCCACTTACACTCTTGGAACACTAAACCAAATACGCATACAGATAAGCACATGTGCACACAACATAGCACACACACACACACACATATACACACACACACACTAACCACACAGAGTTAAGTAAGACCTGACAAACAGTAGGCTGAGCTGAGGCTCAGTGACGTAGTGGTTCAATGTTCAGCCTGCTTCACTGTAGTACCAAGCTGTAGAATATGTATTAGAGAATCCTGAGACCACATCATGAAATAAAATATGCATGTCAGTTGTTTTTCTGTCTTGGAGTGTACTGGATGGGCAGCTGGACTAAAGGTAATGAGAGAAACGGACGCATTCTGCAGTTCAAGACTCAGTTGTACTGTGAATGAAGCACCTGGGCTTTGTTGTCTTAGTAAGATATAAACAGAGTCTTCTTAGTATGTGACATGCTGTGACTGAGTGTTGCCATAGCACAGCTTAAACAGGTGATCAGTATATTGTAAAAGACTCTGATATCCGATTCTTATCAAAGATGATCCAGCATTGCATTTTGGGGAACATATTTGTGTTCGTGTTGTGGGAGTTTTAACAAGTCACTTGCAAGTTCCTCAATTTTATGCAAGTGCAATGCTAAATCACTGAGTACTCCTTTCAAATGTACACTTTGTACGCTTTGAGAAGCTACTGATTAGTTTATACAACAATACATTAATTGTTATGTCACAGTGTGTAACCTAACGGAGTATCTGCTTTAAAGAAAGGATACAAACAATGCTGACTATTCATATATTCTTGTCGATCCACACAGACTAAAGCAGACTCATGGAGAATGATTCCAATAAGCCTTTCTACAGCGACACTTAAAGAGTGAGACTTGGAAAACAGTTCCATCTGTTGTTGAATAAGACAAAGGATCATTATCATGCCGACAGTTAGGATCACAAGTCTACCCTAAAACAACTGAAAGCCTGTTTGCCATTTCCCAGAGATATTCTGAAATGGGATTGTCTTAGGTACTTATCCATTGTCAGTGTATTACCTACAGCAGATGGCAGTCCGTACAATGCAAGTTTGGATAAGTAGCAGGAGCACCTGCTAACCCCAGCCCAAAAAACCTCACTTCAAAAAATCCAAACCATCCCTTTAAGACCGGAACCCTGCTACAGTCAATTGTTATGCATACAGGGTTGCTGGAGATTTCTAATACATGTTCATGTAGGAAATGAGCTAAATTGATTTAAAATTGAATATCTAGCTTACATTAAACACTTGCACTGCATGCATTGCATGTTCTTGAGAACAGAATATTAACTACACCATACTCAAATTCACAGGACAACTTGTCAACTGTGCAGTTTCGTGAGTCATGAGAATTTAGATCCTAAAAACAAAATCACAAGGTTTAGAAACCATGGAACAACAGGTAAGCATGTTTCCAGCTTTAATCTTAATGTGTGTTTTTACTAACAGAGCTCAGATTCAGTCAGCGGTTGTTAACCTCAGTTTAGACACAAAATAGACATCTGAAGGACTTGTGTAACATTTTGGAAAATTGGTCTATTTGCTTTCTTTCTGAGATTGAGATGGCAAGATTGTGTCATGTCAATGTCAGTCTCATGTTTGTGTGTTCACTATAGTGCTGGAGTTAGGACAGGGTTAGCCTAGATTAGGATTAAGACTGGAAGCAAGGTGAAATAGCTAGCCTGGCTCTGCCTAAAGTAAAAACATAACACCTATGAATACCTCTAAAGCTCACTAAAGAACATATTTTGACTGTTTTGTGTATGCACTGAAAAAAAAAGATGCAACACGTTAGTGAGCATTAGAGGTGTTTGTAACCAGGTTAGCTGTTCCCCCGTTTCCACGCTTGATGTTGAGCTAAGCTAACCATGTCTTGACTCAAGCTGCTCAGAGGTAGAGCGGGAGCGAAAGATCGGCGGTTCGATCCCCGGCTCCTCCAGTCTGCGAAGTATCCTTGAGCAAGATACTGTACCCCAAATTGCTCCCCAATGCTTGTGTGAGTGTGTTAAAACTGAGTAGCAGGTGGTACCTTGTACGGTAGCCTCGGCTACCAGTGCATGAAAAAGCGCTTTGAGTGGTCGGATGACTAGAAAGGCGCTATACAAATGCAGGTCCATTTACCATTTACAAACATAAGACTGGCATGTCTCCTTGTCTCACACTTACAAAGAAAGCAAATATACTCATTTACCAAAATGAACTATTCATTCAAATATAACATCCCTGCTTTTGAAACATGACAGTTCACAGCTAAGTTTTAGTGGTCTTCTTAGAATTTGGGGCGTAATATCAAAACCAGGGGGTTTACCTTTAGTGGCTTAAATCATTATCAAAAGCTGCTCCTGACTGTTTCAATACAATACAGACTATATTCCATTCACGAAAGCCAATCAGAGTATGGCCTGATTAGTGTTGGATCAGTCGACTGAGCCAAAAGACAAAGAAGGTGGCCACAGTCCCAAAGGCTTCATTTTCTACCAACAAATGTTCCCATGCTGTTATGTTAATACTTACTATTATTATACTATTATTATTTTCTATGACTTAACTTTTTCTATGACACTGCAGGTTGAGAGTAGGTTAATTACACCGATCGTAAAAAGATCATATGACCAAACTGTAGCATTAAATTAAAAACACTTAACAAGCAACATTTGCAGAACATATGGAGTACAGCTGAACTTTGCCTAAACAAGTAATGATCCCATGAGGTAAAAACTTCCAGTTCTTCTACAGAAGGACACAAAAATTCTACTGAAATGCATAAAATAATTTGATGATATTTCCATGATTTTGGAGAATTCACTAAATATTTGATTTTGCCTCATTGTTTTTTGTGGAGCAGCTGCAGAAAGTCTGGAATGAGTAGACCTTGCCTGTGATGTGTTATGGAGTATTTTAAAATATTTTAGTAAGTATTTATTTAAATGCATTTTCCTATTTTTGTTATAAAGTCCCAAATTCTGAGCAAGGACACTGATTAAAATGTAAGTGGAGTGACAAGCTATTTCTAAAACTTCAGTAACACTGACTGTGCACGTCAGGACTGTTATATGCCTCCCACAGAGGGTCATGAGCAGAAAGTGGACTGTAGCTGCTTGAAGGCGGCTTGTCTCTGTTTTTTCTCCACTTCCTGTCTCTTGCGTTCTTCTTTTTCCTCTCGAATCTCGGCCTCAAACTTGCTGCCCAGAGATAGAGCCTGCATCTGGTAACATACAAAATGACAGTGATCATTCCCATCAACACAGATGTAAGAAGAAGTAAGCCTGCATGGCTGGTTTCATCTGTCTTACAGTCAACAACCAGCTTCATTTGGCCTGTTTAACTGACCCAAAATTCTGAGTGAATACTTCAGCCCCTAATGATCATCTATATATCAGTTACTCACCCTGTTCCCTTGAATTCTGGTAGATATATTTGTTTTTTGTGCATGTGACACTGCTGAACAGAGATTCCAAGAACAAAGATAAATTCTGTTTTAATTAAATTAAAGGGGGTCTGCTTTAAACAACAGCAGCACAACTATATTAAAACATCAGTTTACAAACTTGACAAAAACTTAACAGGACAGCCAACACAAAATGACCATACTGTGTCCCAAATATATTTCTTGAATTTAATCTTTAATATTAAAACTTTATAAACATGTGGGTGACAATGCACCTAATGAACAAATTGTTGACATTTATTTAAATACAACTGGATAAATGAGACTTGGATCATACTACATGGGTTGTGTGAGAGTCTGTAAATGGATGTTTTGATATAATGTTGCTGCTGTGAAATGTGGTCCTCCTTTACTTAATCAAAAATGTTCCATGCTCCATTTTCATATTCTTCATTTACTGTGGAGGCATTCATGAAAAATAAAGTTTTCTTCATGAATTTACGGTAACACTGGGTGGTCATTTAGCTGGTGAAGTATTCTTTTATCTTAATATGGCAGCATATGATACTGCACATGTTCCAAAATACTTGTGTAAAAACATGTATTTTGTCAGAAAGCAGCTCTGTTGAACTGGAGGTAAGGCACTGTTATCCGGTACATTCTATCCACCACATCTATGCTTCAGCTCAGCTTTATTTTGGAGGTTTATGGAGAGTTCCTTGGACTTAATACATGGCTTTTGGCTTTTGACTAGTAAATACTAAATAGACAGGTGTGTCCTGGGTTGTCTAAGATGCATCTATATGGATCTTAGGCCTCTAGTTTCGCAGACCGGGCGAGGCGCAGGCGCAGCGCACTGCACACTGGGTGTGGCCAGGCAGATTTTGCAAGTGTGGCACACCATGCGCGCTGGTGCAGCTACTCCTCTTTCCCACCTCCGTCCCTCCTACCTGAGCAAGTCAGAAAGAGGGAGGAAAGAAGGCGTGGAGTGGGTTTTACACAGCCAATTCACATCACACCAATCAAATGAGCCCCTCTCCTCACCCTTAAATGCGCCGCGCGAAGGTGTAATGAGAGTTTACTCAATTCGCCATGGCAGAAGAGAGCAGCAGCGTCACACGGCCAAACTTCTCCCAGGAGGAAACTGATGTTTTGGTCCGGGAGGTCCAAGCTCGCAGTGTCCGAATATACCGAACTGCGAGCAGACCTCCATGGGCTGATGATGCAAAGGTAGCCTGGGGGGAGGTCACCACAATTGTAAATCAGTGTTGCCCGGATACACTGAAAACCGTTGCCCAGTGAGAAAAAAAAAAAAAAAATGTGCTCATTTGCATGTCGGACTAGACTAGCCGTCACTGCATGTATAGCCGAACTGACAGCTCTCTGCCTAATCCCCGCCACTGCGGCCACGGTGTGCTGAAAAGACCCGGTGGCGAAGAAGGTCAGAGCCACTGTCACCTTTACAGCAACAGGGAGAGCACAGGTGCCACCAGGGTGCGCATCAGAGGCCATGATGCGCGTCACCACTTGGACCACCTCGCGGGGTAGATGAAAAAGAGTACGACATGAAATGACAATTAAATTGGGCACGGCGGTATTCCAGTCATTATTCGTGTGGCCCACCTGCATTCCAGCTCTGTCATGCCCAAATAGGATGTCCTTTGATGGTACACCCTCTCTGCGTAAGTCCTCCTCCTCCTCCTCACAATAATGTACTCCGTCTTTGTAGATCACGTTAAGCAAGAACATTTTAACATTTGTATAGGCAATCACATGAAGCACGTAGACCCTTAAGACACCGAACATAACTTAAAATTTGTTGACAGCGTTTCTCTCGTGCTCGCGCTCTCTCTTTCTCTCTGGCAGTCTCACTCTGTTTCATTTCTTTTGACTTTTCTAAGATGACAGATGCTGAATATATATTCCCTATCTGATGCTGTGGCTGTTTGTGGTTGGCTGAGAGGGATGTGAACTCATTAGTTTGCAGCTGTGTTAATCAAATCAGGTTGGGTTTCCATTAGGTGTGCCAAACGTGCCAAACGGTGCCAGTCCCCTTTGATCTGACATCTGATGTGACGGTACAGTCGATACAGAGATACATTTATGTACTGATTGCAGATAGTTGCATTGAATAGTGGTTTTTGTGGGTATTTATTTCATTGTTAATGTGCCTGACATTCTGGAAACCTGCCTGTGAGGTTTTGGTGACGTGTGCGCACTGTCCACTGGTCAGCCAAACTTCCACTTACACCGGCTGCGCTCCGCCTGCGCTGACAGTAGACCTGGTTTCTGGCGAGCTTTTAGCACATCTTCAGCGAAGCCTTTTGGCACGAAACTGTCACTGCGCCAAGCTGGATCTGTTGACACCTTCCCCTGCTGCGCCGCCACACCCATCTCAGCGCACCTCAGTCTGCCAAACTACCAAACTGAGCGCGCCTCGAGTTGCGCTGCTCAAAACTAGCTCTGCACGGGGTTTGCCACCCTGCACCGTGCCGGGAAACTAGAGGCCTTAGTCTTAAACTGGGCATGTCCTGGTATAATGGGTTAATACCCATTATACCAGGACATGCCCAGTTTAAGACTAGGGACCTTTGTCCCTTACCAGGTGGTCAGAGTTTAATTCATGTTTGTGTAATACTTGTTTGTGTACATACTAATGCAGAAATGTGTGTACGCCAAAAAAATATTCAGATTTATAAATCTGCCAGTACGCAGTTTCCTTTTATAAATCCCAAATCAACTTGGAATTGTACGCATGTGGATCAGCCTCATATCCCGCCCTCTACATGCCCACATTCAACCATAAATTGTCAATGGAAAGCACCACATTAATGCTGATGCATAGAAATTACCCTGCTGATCAATGGGTCTTTCTTGTTTATCATAGCAACAACAACCCCACGGAAGACAAAGAGGATGAATTTTTGTGACACAGAAATCGAGGTGCTTGTTGGTGAGGTGGAGGTTAGAAGCACATATTGTTTGTTGGACGCAAAAGGAAAAGCAGCAAGTGGCAACAAGTTGCTGCTGCAGTTAATACAGTGAGTTCATCAAACAGAAGAGTAACTAAAATTAAAGAAAAATAAGTCAGATCTGAAGATGGAAGCAATAAAAAAAAAAGAATTGCACCTCAGCATCTTTGCTAATTTATACAATCAATATGTGCAGGTGGGCATTAATTTTATCAGTTAGCCTGGTTAACGTGGTTAAGGTGAAAATGACTCAGTGTATTCATGCTTAATTTCTGGAAAAAGAAAAGCTAGACTTTCCTGAATCCTACCACCTGCCACAGATTGACATCATCCAGCTGTGCATGGTGTGCTCCACAGCTAACCACGAGTGTCAGCAGCATACAGTCCGGACCACATCCTCTCCTCTGCGCTCCACTGGTGGGGATGTGATGGTGAGACAACGCTGATGGAATACTGAGCAGGATTTGATTTGAGAGTTGAGTTGAATTCTAACTTTTACAATAAAAAGGTGCTCATGGAAAAGTTCTGGCTCACTGGCACAAACACAAATAACACTGCTGCATTTCAGTGTTTATAAAGTGGATTGATAAGAAACGTGATTTGCGGTGAATTTAAATGTGAGAGATCATAAGATGTATAACAATTCCTCTCACATTTAATTTCTACAATCTGGCTTCAATTCACCACCTCACCATCTGTGTCATTGCCAATTTACCCTTGCTCCAAAATGTGCATATGCATGGGACTGCGTTTCTCTGAATTTGAGCACTTTTCCTTGGTCGTCTTTTTTTTTTTTTTTTTTTTTTAAATCCTAATTTATGCTTAGAAAGTGCCGTACAAACATTTCAAGCCTTTTTTGTGCATATGCAGTGATTTTAAAATGAGACCTGATGAGGAAAAAGTTATCAAAAATTCTTGAAATTATAATTTATTACCAACACTATAATGTAAATAAAAAAAAATCATTTTATTGATGTGACTCAGAGCACATACAAGACAATATAGTATAAACATAGACTACCTTGGCTTCAAAGAAGTCTTTGGCCCCCATCACTCCCTCAATGGAGACGTTGATCTCAGACAGTCTAGCCAGAGCCATTAGACCACTCTCCTCCTGCAGCTCTCCAGCAGCTGCTCTCCGAAAGATCAACAGGAACTGCAGCAAGTTCAACAACATTCAGCAAACAAATCTCACAAGTCTCATTATGTTCATGTGACAAACTCTATTTCTAGCTACCCAAAGGACGGAGCACAATTTCCCACCTCTATTCAAGTCTATAACACCTGCAGGCCAACCCCAGGTTAGTTTGTGAACTACTGAAATATAATAAGGTATGGATCCAGATCAGTTCAAAATGCAGTAGCTCTCCTAAGGACCTTACCAATTCAGTTTTTACTGTGCCTTCAGAAAGCAGACTCACACCAACTAACTTCTTCAGAGAAGGGGGCTTTTTCCTCCCCATCCTGTTGTAAAAAACATGGTCAGGAGCATTACTGTTTGTATTGAAATATGAATTTAGCATATTTGCCAATATAATTTGCAGTATGATTGGCACGTCTATAGTTTTAAGTTGAACAGATTAGAACATTTATTAGAGGTATTATCGCCAGCTAATTTTTGTAGATACTGTGTGCCAAGGCTACACAATTAATATGATTGATAATGAGATCACAGTAATGTATCACTATTGCTCACTGACTTTAGGGCCAAATATTTCTATTGCACTCTCACACGATGATCAAAGTTTATTTCTTAGGATAAACCCCTTGAGATGTACCATCTCGTTTTCAAGGGGGTCCCAACATAAATCACAATCAGTACACAAGACAAAACAACGACAGAAG